AGCAAAAGAATTGGCACAGAATTTATTTCTTGTACTCGAAGTAAATTTGATAATGTTGAACCAACCAAATATTCAATGAAAGAGTAAAATTGATCATCAACTAATGTTAATGTTTCTATGGGTAATTTCCAAGGATTGAAATATAATTCTTGCAACTTTGGTACATTAGAAAGAGACATGTTGTAGATAATTGATAGAGTAATAATGGTGTATGTTCAACGTTTAACAAGATAGAAATGACTAAGGAATTTTAAATAAGATAGATGTGGAAACGAGGTAGAGAAAAGATAATCAAATCTAGGGATGTCTCGTGGTCAAATACATACACTATACAACATGAACGAAAACAGTACAACTAGAAAGAAAAGGGCTTGATAGTTACATATATTTTTCTCAATATTCTTTTCTTTCCTTCTCTTCACGTTCAACTTATTAATTTGGCTATTGAATGTTCGAATTCAATAAGATAACCATATGCTTCTACACTGCAAAAGCAACGATATTCAACATAATGGACACAACTGAATATCATGACCAGACAAGCGTATTTTCTCCTTTTCAGTCCAGATCATGTTCTGTATTCTGATAAACATTAAATACAAAGCAAAAGATCATCTTATTTCCATTTTCATCAGTGAAAACCAATGTTATCTGTCTCATTCAAAAAAAGAGAAATACACTTTTATTCATAATACAATAGGTATTGATGTATCGAGTTTGATTCGGGTAGGTTCTAGTTGATCGTCACTCAAAGTTATTTTTGTAAATTTGAACTTTATGCATAAAAAATGATAGGAAACGAAAGTTAAAAGGCATTAATTGCCTTCACCAGAATACTAATTTAATCTTTGCGAGATATTTGATACAAATATTAAAAGTGTGAAAGTAATAATTGAAAAACATATATCATTTCTCTTGATTTGTGTTTTATATTGTTTATAAATCCAGAATTCATTTTCTCATTCTAGATTTTGCTGCACGCACTGAAAAATTAGGTATTGAATTATGGCTGCAGCTGTTAGTATCGATGATAATTCTCGTTTACCAGAAAATGTTCTGGAATTAGAAGGAGATGATTTCTATCGATTTACAAAAAGTATGAGTGGTGCATTATTGACTGAAGTACTTAAAATACAGGATATTGATTCAGTTTTTATATTTTTACAAACAAGTGATATTTTTGAAATATTCCAACATGATTCTACAATATTACGAGATTTGAAGTCAAAAATAGGTTTCGATTCAAATGATGGTACATTTCAAGTCAAACTTGGTTTAAAACTGCAATACGAATATATATCAAAATTATTGAAATCAAAATCAGATCAGAAATATACAAAATCATCGTCTCTTACATCTGAAAAGATTGATATACTACTTCGAAAACATCCAATTCTTCTTTCACTTCTCAATTCCTATGAGAATGAAAGTACAACAAATGATCAACATGAATTTTTATCCCTATTTATAAATACTATAACGAAAAATTTATCTTTATCTAATACGAGTCGATATAGATATGATGACAAATTGAAAAATTTTGCTGTTTGCTTGTGCATACTTGGAGGAAAGACAACTTATGAGTTTGTCCGATTAAATTTGC